ACTTCAGACAAAAATCTTTCTTGGCTCCACCAAAATATATGTCTATTTTGAGGAAACGGGATCAATGTCTCAGTATGAGAAGGTGAAGAATTACAAAGAGAAAAGAAGACATCCAGTCATTTCAGCTTGTTTCCATCTACTTCCTCTTGGCAATACACAAATAGCAATCTGAAATGTCATTTTTGATCAAGCTAAATTTGAAGCAATCTCATTTGCGCTGTCACTGACGAGTGGCTTGCTGCAGTAGAGTGCATGAATTTCAGCATCTGGGCCATGAATAGAGTGGTTCCTCTTTCTGGGAATGACGGTTTATGCAAGCATTTTGGAAAACCAAAAAAGAGCATGATACTATGCAGGGCCCTATGGGGCTCCTGGGCACAACTTTCTATGTCCCTCATTTTTTTTGATTACAGGAAACAGCCTTCATTCAGCCTCTATGACCTCCCCTGAGTTCCAATGGGCAGATTCATGCAGTTGTTAATTAGGGAAGGGAGGGATGTGAGACCAGGAAGAAAGTCAAGAGCAGCATTTGGACAGGGTCCTGTTTCCCCATCAACAGATATACACAACAATATCTTTGAGCTATTTTGCAGATGTTGAAGCTGCTTCGAGGTGGAAGAAGTTAACGATTAATGACAGTATGCTGCCCACAAGCCTGGAGACCCCAGGCCAGTTGGACCTGAAGGTTGACTCCATTTACCTCACCACCAAACCATCAGAAGAACGTCCATGAGCTGATCACATCCTCTTTGAACAACTGCTATAAAAACTCTCATTATCTCTCTGAAGGGTGGACACACGATTTAAAAAGCATTAGTCCCACTGTGGCCCCCTTTGCCTGGCAAAGTAATAAAGCTATCTTTTACCACTTCACCCCAAACTCTGTCTCTTATTCAATTCAGCACCAGTGTACAGAGAAACTGAGCAATCAGCCTCAAGCAAAATGTGTGTGTGATGCTGTGTTTAGTCGTTCAGTTGTGTCCGACTCTTTGGGACCTCATGGACTATAGCCTGCCAGGCTCTTATGTCCATGGGGATTCTCCAGCCAAGAATGATAGGGGAAGCACACTGACTGAAATCACCCAGGCTGGCCAGGCACCACAGTAAACATTTCCATAAGTTGTTTTACAACAGGAGGTCCTGGTAAGGAACACAGAACTAATAAGCCACCACCAACAGGAAGAGTTTGGGAAAGGTCAAAAGGTGACACCATGTGTCTAACCACCTCCCGGAATCCTTCTTGCTGGCATCCATCTTGGCTGAGCAATGCGTGTGCCACTAGTAAGGACTCTGAGTCAGAATGACTGGCCAAAGACAACCCAGAAACTAATCCCATCACCATAAAATGGGAGGCTGCAAGCCACGTGACAGCAGTTCTCCCGGGTTCCCTCATCCTCCTGCTCTCCACCCAGGCGCCGCCCCCCACCCCAATAAAATCTCTTGCTTTATCAGCACATGTATCTCCTTGGAAAATTTAATTCTGAGTGTTAGACAAGAGCTGACTTTCGGTCCCTGGAAGGAGTCTCCCTTCCTACAAGAATGCTGGAGTGGGTTGCCATGCTCTCTTCCAGAGAATCTTCCCAACTCAGGGATCAGACCCAGGTCTCCAGGATTGCAGGCGGATTCTTTACCATCTGAGTCACCAGGGAAGCCCAAGATACCGGTGTGGGTAGCCTATCCCCTTTTCCAGAGGATCTTTCCAACCCAGGAATTGAACTGGGATCTCCTGCGTTGCAGGTGGATTCTTTATCAGCTGAGCCACCAGGGAAGCTCAAATGTGTGTATGCTTCCTTCTGAAAGTGAAAGTGGAGTTGCTCAGTCATGCCCGACTCTTTGCGACCCCATGGACTGTAGCCCACCAGGCTCCTCTGTCCATGGGATTCTCCAGGCAAGAATACTGGAGTGGGTTGCCATTTCCTTTTCCAGGGAATCTTCCCGACCCAGAGATTGAACCCAGGTCTCCCGAATTGCAGGCAGGCGCTTTAACCTCTGAGCCACCAGGGAAGCCCATACTTCCTTCTAATCAACTTCAATTAGCTTCTGGTCAGAACCACACATGGAGAAGGCAATGGCATCCCACTCCAGTACTCTTGCCTGGAAAATCCCATGAATGGAGGAGCCTTGTGGGCTGTAGTCCATGGGGTTGCGAAGAGTCGGACATGGGACTTCACTCTTACTTTTTGCTTTCATGCATTGGAGAAGGAAATGGCAACCCACTCCAGTGTTCTTGCCTGGAGAATGCCAGGGACAGCAGAGCCTAGTGGGCTGCTGTCTAAGGGGTCACACAGAGTTGGACATGACTGAAGCAACTTAGCAGCAGCAGCAGCAGTAGAACCACACATTTCACCATCACACCTGTGTTTACAGATCACATGACCAAAGAGAACACAGCGATGTTGGAAAGCAGCATCTGAAATGCTACAGAACCAGTCTTAGGAATAACAATAATTGTAAAACCAAAAGGCTATTTTTATATGCAAGATACAGAATGAAAGTCCAGCATGGTTTACCCTAAGATAGTCTTTGGTTTGGGTTTTGTTTTTTTAACCTTCGTCTGGAAAAACTTGGATAAACTGGATAAAGTTTCCTTACAAGATTTTTTAGAAGAAAAAAATGAAGTCATATTACAACATTCTTATTTAAAATATACAGAGTTCAGCAATCTTATTTTTATGAGAAATATTTGGTAACATAATTCTAGGAAATATCAACTTAATATTAATGGAAACAAAAGCAGCCAATATGATTAGACTCTCTGCTTGAGTTCTGCCTGTCCCTGGAAACATGTGGATCTACCCTGACTTCTCTGCTCATCCCTCTCAATATCCTTCTCAGACCTCTTTTTTCTATTTATTGTAAAGTCGTCTCTAAGAAATAGTTTACTCCTTTTCATAAATTAATAGAAAACAAAATAAATACATAAATAAAATGTGAAAGCAAAAATATATATAAAATGAAAAACATTAAATGTGCAATAAATTCTAATAAATCAGTATTGTTATGTGTTGAATCAGCGATGTACTTTAAAGTCATCAGATACCTTCAATTTTGAATGTTTTGACTTTGGTTTATACAGGGGGTCAAATTAATAGATAGACAGATACACACTCACACAATCAGAAGTTATACATAGATTATTCTCTTATCACCTTTATGTATTAGGTAGATGAAGTGATGGGCTATTAGGTATAAAGCTCTTGGTGGAAGCTGTAATATTGGAGGCATTTCTAATTCTAATGAACATTCTAGAAGTTCAGTGACTTCTGGGCAAAATAAGAAACTAGGAATGTAAGACAGGCCACCTTCTTTAAAACCTGCGAATATTATAACATAGACCAAGGGAATTTTAACCATATATCAGGGAGTCCAACATGATTTTCATTGCTAGATCATATACAAAATATTTTTTAAAGATAAAACTACTATATATGAGGAATCATCATCATCACTATGCTCATTCTGCTCATCCACATTTTATACTATCCATATTTTAACTCATAGTAATCTAAAGTGAACTAATATGTTCTCCAGCATTCACCAAGGCAAACGAAATGCCAAAAAATGACTCCAAGATGCTGACTTTTAACAGAAAACACACATAAATAATCCCTTAGTAGGAATATTGATAAATTGTGCTATCTAAAGCATGCTTTAGAAATGGGTCTGAAATCAGGTGGTAGCATCTAGAAATATTTAGCAAAATCTACACTATACACAATCAGTGTAGCAACAACCATTAAACAAAAACACATTATTAGCTGATTGCCACTCTCTTTAATTAATTTAAATATGCAAAGAGAGTAGTTTAAATATAGAAGATAAGCTTTGTACTTAGCATTTTATAATGATGGCTTATCATACTCTGAGTTATTAATTTTTTAATTAAATCTAATAGAAATAAGTTTATCTTAAACTTCAGGATTTTCCCTCTAATGTTTATAAACTTTCCAGTGCTACCGTGCTGACAGTACTAGAGTCCTGAATGAGAAACATATTCGACATATGCAAATTTGAAACACAACACACAAGACCCTTGAGCTTCTTTAAACCAATTAAATATGGCTTATTTAGGTTTTACAATTTTAGGGTACCACTGGAAAGTTTATATGATAACCTGATATTAGAGCAACTATTGGACCAAAAATGGGTAATTTTAATTTAATTGATCTCATTGAAATCTAGATTATGGATGATGCTTTGAGGAGTAAATATCTGCCCATAAAATGCCTTTTCCTGGGCAAAGATGATGAAGGTAGGCAATTAACGGACATGCCTTCCCACCATGAGCTCAATGAATTTCTTCACCTGTTTTCTTACTTTTCCCTGCCCATTTATTGATCACTTACTGGGTTTTTGGAATTTGATTCTTAAGGACACAGTAAATTCAAGCTAGAAAATCTTGAATGCTAATCTTAAATGTTAATCTTAGAAAATGTCAAAGAGGGAGAAACACAGTCAATCCCCTAGTAGTATCTCCAGAGTTTACAGCAGTGCTTCTACATGAGGCAGTTAATTTTAACTTTTACTTTCTGAATAAATCTTTCATTTAAAAAATCTATCTCTTAAAAAAATATCAAAATATTTGAGTTTTATGTGTATGTATTCACGTGTTTAATCCACTGAATTAATATATGTGCAACAGAAAAAGTGATTTACTCAACAACATTCAAATAGCAAGAGTGGATGAATAACTCTCCAAAAAATTAAGTCACTAACTCCTTTCCCACTAATAGGAAGGGGATCTTTATTTTCAGTAGCAGCCTTCACCTGGTTTCCTCAGGCCAAGTCCGGGGATGAAGTCATTTTCCCACCATATCCTATGGCAGCTTCACATCTCACAGATATATGCAGTGGCCTATTGAGTTTTCCCTGGTGGCTGTGACCCTGGCTCTTCATGTGTTGTTTTAGTTATTCCTGAGCAGCACACTTGATTAGTCACCCTTCTATAACCTGTTCTAAAACTAAAAAGTAGATTAACAAGCAAACAGTTGCAGACTCACCATCCCTGCGATTAAGACTTGCAAAGCCAGGGCTGTGGCTACTAGACAGCTCTGAGGAACTGGTGAAGGACGCCCGAGGCAAGGAGGACGCCAAAGGAGCATCACAGTTATCTGGGGGGAAAAGCACCACATTCTGGTTAACACATTGATTGACGCTTCTCTGTCTTCTTCCTGCCCTTTTACTTTCATTTTCTTCTCATTTCCCTCCCACTCTCCATCTTTTTCATCCTTAATTCCCTTTCCTTTAACCAACAGGCTAGGAAAACGCTAGAGCCTGTGGTAAACATTAGTCTTGATCAGAGGTTTATTAGTAAACCTTTAACATCTTGGTAGAATTTGTCACTTACCCATGGTGTATATTGTTCCTCCTGCCAAGCAAGAGACTTGGGTTAGATCTCTCGGTCAGGAAGATCCCCTGGAGGAGGAAATGGCAACCCACTCCAGTATTCTGCCTGGCAAATGCCATGGACAGAGGAGTTACAATCCATGGAGTCATTAAAGAGTCAGATATGACTGAACTAGACAACAAAAACACTGGTGTAAATACTTATACTGTGGCCAATTCAAGGCTATCAATGTGATGTCACTAATCATGAAGTTGGAAACAGAATGCATGTATTACATCATTATATGGCATTTTCACCACACAGATTCAAGGTATGTAAGTAACCTCAAGAGATTAGATAAATGTAAGATGTCATAAAATAAAGTAGCAAACACCCTCTTCCAACAACACAAGAGAAGACTCTACACATGGACATCGCCAGATGGTCAACACTAAAATCAGATTGATTATATTCTTTGCAGCCAAAGATGGACAAGCTTTATACAGTTAGCAAAAAAAAAAGATCAGGAGCTGACTGTGGCTCAGATCATGAACCCCTTATTGCCAAATTCAGACTTTAATTGAAAAAAGTAAGGAAAACCACTAGCCCATTCAGGTGTAACCTAAGTCAATCCCTTATGATTATACAGAGGAAGCAAGAAATAGATTTAAGGGGCTAGATCTGATAGACAGAGTGCCTGACGAACTATGGACAGAGGTTCATGACATTGTACAGGAGACAGGGATCAAGACGATCTCCAAGAAAAAGAAATGCAAAAAAGCAAAATGCTGTCTGAGGGGGCCTGACAAATAGCTGTGAAAAAAAGAGAAGTGAAAAGCAAAGGAGAAAAGGAAAGATATACCCACTTGAATATAGAGTTTCAAAGAATAGCGAGGAGAGGTAAGAAACCCTTCCTCAGCATTCAATGCAAAGAAATAGAGGAAAACAATAGAATAGGAAAGATTAGAGATCTCTTCAAGAAAATTAGAGATACCAAGGGAATATTGCAGGCAAAGATGGGCTCAATAAAGACAGAAATTGTATGGACCTAAAAGAAGCAGAAGAGGTGGCAAAAATACACAGAAGAACTGTACAAAAAAGATCTTCATGACCCAGATAATGATGATGGTGTGATCACGCACCTAGAGCCAGACATCCTGGAATATGAAGTCAAGTGGGCCTTAGGAAGCATCACTACAAGCAAAGCTAGTGGAGGTGATGGAATTCCAGTTGAGCTATTTCAAATCCTAAAAGATGATGTTGTGAAAGTGCTGCACTCAATATGTCAGAAAATTTGGAAAACTCAGCAGTGGCCACAGGACTAGAAAAGGTCAGTTTTCATTCCAATCCCAAAGAAAGGCAATGCTAAAAAATGCTCAAATTACCACACAATTGCACTCATCTCATACGCTAGTTAAGTAATGCTCAAAATTCTCTAAGCCAGGCTTCAGCAGTATGTGAACCATGAACTTCCAGATGTTCAAGCTGGATTTAGAAAAGGCAGAGGAACCAGAGATGAAATTGCCAACATCTGCTGGATCACTGAAAAAGCAAGAGAGTTCCAAAAAAAAAAAAAATCTATATCTGCTTTATTGACTATGCCAAAGCCTTTGACTGTGTGAATCACAATAAACTGTGGAAAATTCTGAAAGAGATGGGAATACCAGACCACCTGACCTGCCTCTTGAGAAACACGTATAGAGAATAGCATTTTTTTTTTTTCATTTATTTTTATTAGTTGGAGGCTAATTACTTTACATCATTGCAGTGGGTTTTGTCATACATTGAAATGAATTAGCCATGGATTTACATGTATTCCCCATCCCGGTCCCCCCTCCCACCTCCCTCTCCACCCGATCCCTCTGGGTCTTCCCAGTGCACCAGGCCCAAGCACTTGTCTCATGCACCCAACCTGGGCTGGTGATCTGTTTCACCCTTGGGGTTCCATTTTCATGCAGATTCTCAATCCATGTCTTCACTCCTTTGGACTCCAGTTCTGAATTTAGCCATCTGTTCTGGGGGCATTGGCCAATTTCTAGCCCTCAGCTACACACACAGTGCAGAGAAGTTGATGACCCCTTGGAATCTACAGGACGTTCTAAGCTTATAAGACTGGCATGCAGGACACTCTAGAGACCCTTGAATAATTTTCCAGCTTCAGTTCATTTGCTACCACCCTCACTTTCTCCCAAAAATATGTGCTGCAGCAGGTCCCAGTGTGTTCATATCTGCAGCTACCCAATGTGGGTCTACCTTTGACACCTCTCTGCATGCCATGAGCTTGCATAACTACACTAGATCCAGTTGTTTAATTTCATGACCCTCAATGCCCACTCTGATAGGAAATAGGGTGGAGGACAGCAGAGGTGACTTCTAATTTCTTGCTTTTCCAGTAAGTTATGCATTCTAATATTAGAGCATCCTTGGAGGCTCAGACAGTAAAGAACGTGTTTGCAGTGCAGAAGACCTGGGGTCCATCTCTGGACCGGGAAGATCCTCTGGAGAAGGGAATGGTCACCCACTCTAGTATTCTTGCCTGGAGAATTCCACAGACAGAGGAGCATGGTGGGCTACAGTTCATGGGGTCACAAAGAGTCAGACACAACTGAGCAACTAGCACTTCTACTTTTCTAATACTAGAACATATTTATATCTTTGCCAGAACAAAGTCAGAAAGGGAACCTTAGACCATGTTCCTGGTTAATTCATTTAATTCACACATGCATATGTATTATGCCTAGCCATTAGCAGAGTTCAAAGATAAGCACTTTTATTTTTACTTCTTTACCGTTTGGTCCCTCAGCTGTGCCTGACTGTGATCCCGTGGACTGCAGCATACCAGACTGCCCTGTCCTTCACCATCTTCCAGAGCTTGCTCAAACTCATGTCCATTGAGTCAGTGATGCCATCCAACCATCTCGTCCTCTGCCTCACCCTTCTCCTCCTGCTTCCAACCTTTCCCAACATCAGGGTCTTTCCTAATGAGTCAGCTCTTCTCATCAGGTGGCCAAAGTATTTGAGATTCAGCTTCAGTATTGGTCCTTCAATTATAAATAAATAATTTTTCCCTCACTAATTTTGCATCATAATCATTTCATCAAGTCATAAACACTCCTTTCTTTAATGAAGACTCTTGCTTATCAGTTCAGTTCAGTTCAGTCGCTCAGTTGTGTCCAACTTTTTGCGACCCCATAGACTGCAGCACACCAGGCCTCCCTGTCCATCACCAACTCCTAGAGCCTACTCAAACTCATGTCCATTGAGTCAGTGATGCCATCCAACAATCTCATCCTCTGTCGTTCCCTTCTCCTCCTGCCCTCAATCTTTCCCAGCATCAGGATCTTTTCAAATGAGTCAGCTCTTCACATGAGGTGGCCAAAGTACTGGAGTTTCAGCTTCAACATCAGTCCTTCCAATGAATACCCAGGACTGATCTCCTTTAGGATGGACTGGTTGGATCTCCTTGCAGTCCAGGGGACTCTCAAGAGTCTTCTCCAACACCACAGTTCAAAAGCATCAATTCTTCTGTGCTCAGCTTTCTTTATAGTCCAACTCTCACATCCATACATGACTACTGGAAAATGCCAAGGAGTAAGCATCTTTTAATTTCAGGCTGTAGTCACCATCTGCAGTGATTTTGGAGCCCCAAAAAATAAAGTCTCTCATCATTTCCATTGTTTCCCCATCTATTTGACATGAAGTGATGGGACCGGATGCCATGATCTTAGTTTTCAAAAGCATCAGTTCTTTGGCGCTCAGCCTTCTTTTACTTCTTTCGGCTCCTTTTAACAAATTAATCTAGACCTGAAAGTTGCATGCAAAATTATTCTTCAGGGTTTAAATTTTCACTTTTTACTGTAAATCAAATAGCAACACTACAAGAACAGCCTGTCGTTAATTTTAGTGTTGCAAGATAGCAATTTAATACCCATTAATTAAAACTATTACTAGGTTGTGGTATAAATCCAAAACAATCATTGTTATTACAATTAAATTATACCTCATGTTCCCCATACTTTTCTTTTTCAGATCACTGCATCTGTGAAATAACTTGCATCTTTTTTGAGAAGAGTTTAAATTATAAAATAGTGCATTCCAAAGTCTTATATCCAAATGGCAGATAATATTTAGCTAGGTAAGTACTTTTTATTAAAAGTACTTCCTCCCTAGTGATCTGATTTTGAACTTCAAGAAAGTCAGCAACTCTAATACAAAAAGTCAGTTTTGAAAACCCTTCCTCTTAGAGCTGAAATCAATGAATTTGAAAATAGGAAGTCATGGAGAAAAGTCAATGAACCAACAACTAACTCTTCGAAAGATTAATAGCACTGAAAAGCCTTTGGCCAGCCTAGTTTAGGTAAGGAAGCCACAACTTATTAATATCTAAAATGAAATTAAGGACATAAATACAGATTCCATGGACTTTAAAAGGATAATAAATGAATAGTATGAGAAATTCTGAGTCCATAAATTTGATCATCTAGATGAAATGGACTAATTCCTTGAAAATACAGTTTATATCTAATAAAGAATTTGAAACAATAATTCAAATATTTTTTTAAAATATATAATAATAACCTTCCAAAACAGAAAGCACCAAGTCCAAATGGCTTCACTGGTGAATTCAGTGAAACATTTAAGGAAAAAAATCATGCCATGTCTCCATAATCCCTTTTAGAAAATAAAAGCAGAGGGAATAATTTATGCCTTATTCCATGAGGCCAATATTACCACAATATTAAAAAAACAGTCACAGATACTACCAAAAAAAAAAACCTTACAGAC